ACCAACAACAAACACCAGCCACTGGCTGGGCACTGATGCCTTCTTTAGAGGGATTAATCCCTCAGCCGTGGATTATAAAAATCAATGTTGCGTCCTGTTGTCCCCCAAACCTGCAGGCCGCTCTTTTGCTCCCTGGGGAGGGAGGCTGGGGCTGTCCCTGTCTTCTGGTGGGGAGACTGAGATGCTCTGCACCCCTCTGCCCATGCTACCACAAACCAAAGCCGCTGCTGCCCGCCATGGGGAGCGCCCCCCAGGGTCCCTTCAGGGCTGCCCAGGGTGAGGGTACCGAGGAAGGCCCCTGAGTGCAGACTCACTTGCTCCACCACCCCTGCCTGCACAGCTGGGTTCCTTATGGAGCTGCCACTGGGCTCCCTGTCAGGCCCCAAAGCCCTGGTGGGGTGGTGGGGAGCCCCTTGGGTCATCTGGACCCCTGGTCCTCCCGGGTGCAGCAAGCACCACAGTCCCAGGAGCATCTACCACTGACTCCATGGAGCCCTAATTTTCTTGCTCTTGTGCAAGCATCCACCACAGACCCATGGCCCAGCTTTCCCTGCTGACGCACGGGCTCTTCCAGTGGCTCTGCCAAACCCCGTGGCAGCTCCAAGGCTTCCCTCACCCTGCTGGGCCATGCATGGGGCTGTGGGGCCACACTGGCCTGGGCCATCCCCAGGAGGCCCGGGCTGAGGAGGGGTGACAGTGGGCGCACCCAGGCCCAGGCCAAGCTATTCGAGAATCTCAGTTATTATTTATCTTCTTTTTTTTTTTTTTTTGAAATGTAGACTTGCTGCCCTCTCTTTGCTCTGCATAAAGCCAGGGAAGGGTTCAGACCGCACAAGCGAGGTTGCTCATTGGCCATTTTAAGTTCCCTGAGTTTTCTCGTGCCGATATATTTTGATTGACGAATCCCAAAATACAGGATGTTTCCTTCAGAAAACTGGTGAGGCAAATGTTTGTGTAGCTTTTAACTGGGTCTTAACTACTTATCACCCTTAACAGCCACCATTTGTGCTCATCCTTAATATATGATTTTTAAATAAATTATCCATTTTTAGAGTGTTAAAGCTTCATTCTCGTAGCCTCTTTGCACCTATGATGTTTCCCAAGAAATTTGGGACCGAAGCGATCATTGACAGAGAAGTAAATCATGACTAACTTCAGTGAAACCAGAGATTATGCTAGAGTAAAACTGGTGTAAATGGAAGGAGACTCAGACAGGCTTTTCATCTGAAGCTTTGTTTGTTTCTTTTAAATACCCCACCCTCCTTTGTGAAGATGTTAAACTATTTTATTTAAAGGAATTGTTACACATCCCTCGTTGCTGATCCTGGTGGTATTGAAATATATATCTTGAAAATCAACCTAGAAATTTCAGATCAGAATTACAGGCTAGCTGGCAACTATACCTTTACAGTGACAAGCAGAACAGGTCTTATTCCTTGGAATTTCCTTCCAAAAAACCCAAAACCTTGGCACCAACCAGGACAATTAAGCTCATAGTTTTCCACCCATTTTGGTTTGTCAGCAAAATTCAGGGAGTGATGCAGCTGAAGCCTGGTATCTGCTTTGATATGCCCTTAATCTGGCAATAGTCTATAAGCATTTCTGCTACAGGAAAAAAAATATTCTGTGCTATGGAGAGGCAGAAAATGGTTGCTTTCCAGAATAACTGTGTCTACATGCATCAATTTTGCAGTTTTCATATCTATCTGCTTGTGGATTAATGCTAATCATTGGCTTGAATATGGTCAATAAAGCCTTCCATCATACACGCAAAAAATAATGTAGGCAGCATGATTCATAAGACATTGTTACCTATGTTTTGTGTGCATGTTTGCTGTTAACCCAAACTTTAAAGCAAAGTTTCCCACAGGATTCCTTATATCCTCAGCAGAGCAATACATCGTGTCTGATTTTATAGAGAAACCCTTAGATTTCTCTTTTAGGTCTTTTCGCTTCTCCTTGAATAACCCAACATTTTCCCATACCAAACGCCCCAGGTAGGAATGTTTATCACTTTTTTTTTCCTTCCTGGTTTGTGATCTGCATCCCTTTTCAGCCACTTCCTTCTGGTCACGAGTGGGGAAAATCCCGACCGGGGTTTTTCTATCCACGCAGGGAAAATGGGAGGGAATCAGCCGCTAGGGGAGCTCCATGTTGGGAGTAACCTCCAAGCATCTTCCTGGCAGCTTACACAGCTTTCTGCAGTCCCCAGGAGTGGAAGTGTGAAAGCAGGTGTTAAGTTTAAAAAAAAGCAGC